CTCCCACCTGCTTGTTTCCTGGTTGTTGCTTCTGCCGGCAGTAGAACTGGGTTAGGTAAACCTTGTATCACCTCTTCTCTGATGGCCTGACCATTTGATACTCTCAGCCCAATTTAGCCTATCTCAGCCTATCTTTGAGCATGGATTTCTTTTCTGTCTGTATTTCTTAGAGAACTGAGCCAAAACTACTGCCTGTGTGTCTGTAGACTTGTGTGCACCTGTCCATTTGAACAACCATCCTGGAAACTTTTGAACTCACTGTTTTAGCTAAATTTCATGGAGGAATAGAATTTTAAAAGATACTAAGTTCCTACAACTTTTCTAAAATAAATGTGCAGAGGAGAAAATAATTTTGTCCTAGGGAAAGGTACCATCACAAACTCTCCTTTTATTAGGTACCTGTAATAAACACAGAAGAAAGACTTTCTGAGGCATGGGACTGTTGGAAAACCATCCTTCAAAGCCTGGATAAGAACCAGTGGTAACTGATTCTGAGACACAAGTCTGCAGTTTTGTTTTTCAGGGTTTTGTTATTTATTTAGCCTTTTTTTGTTGTTTTAATAGAAAGGTTATAAAAATTTTTTATCAAAGACAAAAAGCATTCTTTCTCTTAAAATTGGAGGAATATTTTTGCAGTCCTTCAGCTTTTCTTTTTTTTTGTACTAAGTGTTAGGCAAAGACTTGCTGATGTGAAATGTTAGAAATTGCAGGAACTGGTACTTGCAGAAAAATGCAGACTCCAAGCCGGTAGGTGAAGTGAGAGTGGCAGGTGATGGAAAAGGTGACCCACTGAAGGAACTGGATATGTCTTTATCTCCTGTCAGACACCAGCTTGCCAAGTTGAAAACACTGAATAACAATCATCTTTGTTTCTTGGTGGATTGTTATTATAAATGCCTGAAAATTTTATGTGGAAGAGGTAATTAAACATTAAAAAAAAAATCTCAAGATCAGGACAGTGCCCAGTTTTCCTTCCCACATATGCTGTTTCAGGTTCCTTCATTTCTTATTTCATAATGAGATCTTAGGACTGGGTTTTTTTGTCACAATATCTGTGCTGTCATTTTTCCTAGAGCTGAATTCAGCCATTACTAGAATCAAGAATTTGGCTGTGTATGATCTGGTGGGATCAAGCTTGCAGTTCAGTACAGTAACCTTTCCTCTAACTCTGAACCCACTTTCATGTTTTACACCTGTACTGGGCTGACCCTGGCTGGACGCCAGGTACTCACTACAACCACTCTCTCACTCCCCTCTGCAACTGGACAGAGGAGAGAAAAAAACAGCGAAGGATTCATGAGTTGAGGTAAGAGCTGGGAGAGATGACCCACTGATCACCATCATGGGCAAAACAGACTCGAAGTGGGGATATTAATCGAATTTATTACAAACAGGATCAGAGGAAAAGAGTGAGAAGTAAAATTATCTTAAAAGCACCTTTTCCCCACCCCTCCTTCCTTCCAAACTCTGCCTTCTCCCCCGCAACAGTGCAGGGGGACAGGGAATGGGGGTTACAGTCAGTTGTTGTTTCAGCCCCTGCTAAGGGAGAGGAGTCCTTCCCCTTCTCTCATGGGGTCCCTCCCACAGGAGACAGTCCTTCACAGGCCTCTCCAGTATGAATCCATCCCTCAGGAAACGGTTCTTCCCAAACTGTTGTTCCGTGGGTCACTCCTCCATGGGGTGCAGTGCTTCATGAATGAGCTGTACTGATGTGGGTCCCCCACAGGGGCCACAAGTCCTACCTGGGATAAACCTGCTCCAGCAGGGGCTTCCCTTTCCACAGGCTGCAGGTCCCCAGCAAGACCTGTCTCCATCTTGGGCCTCCCATGGGGTCACAGCCTCCTTTGGATATCCACCTGCTCCAGCACGGTCTTCACCATGGGCTCCAGGGGCCTCAGCTCTGGTTCCTGGAGCACCTCCTGCCCCTCCTTCTGCACTGGCCTTGGTGTCTGCATTGTTGTTCACGTGTTCTCACTCTGCTCTTTCCTGACTTGAATTCTTCTCTATGCAACAATCTTCTATTCTTAAATATGTTATCACAGAGGCGTTACTATCACTCCTGATTGGCTCGGCCTTGGCCAGCGGCAGGAGGCTCGTCCTGGAGCTGGCAGGCGTTGGTTCCACCAGACGGGAAGTTTCTAGCAGCTTCTAACAGAAACCACCCCTGTAGCCCCCCCCACACCCCCGCTACCAAAACCTAGCCACAGAAACCCACTACAACACCTAATGGATGAGCAACCTAACAGGAACAGACATTTGGAGAAAAAAAAGTAAATAGTGTAAAAATGTCCTTCTGAAGCTGTGCTCTCTTACACAAAGAAATGTTTTCTTCTAGCCTTGAATTCTGTCTCCAAAGGTTTTAAATGTGGGTGTCTAAGGAAAGAGTGTACGGAGAGGGCAAGGAACAGTGATGCTCTTCCATGATTTGTGGTTGTGAGATATCCTGAACCAGAGATTAAGTCTTTGTATAATTATATAATGCTATGAAAAAATCCAGCTGTAAAGGAATATCTTTTATTTACATACTAAAACATTAATTAATTATCCCTGCAATTCTCCTGTACTTGCCAGGAAAGAGCTGTTTTATTTCCCTAGTGGAGGTAATCAATTACCACATAACAGGCTAAGAAACCAGAACAAGAAAAAAACAGGCAGCAAATGTGCAGGTGGGAAACTTTTGCTACTATCTGTAGTAGATAACAGTTTATTTCCATGCAGACTAAAAGCTGTGAGCAGTCTTAACTTGTCTGCAATATTCATGCATCTTTTGCATAAACTTAGGCCAGTTTTGCAGTTGGCCTGATTTGTGGGTACTTAGGGAATGTAAAATCACGGTATTATGTGGTCTTTGTGTGGAGGAAGTGCAGAGCTTCACTTGGTGGTTCAAGCTCATAAGAACTTCATGCTTAGGCTGGAAGGCTTGAGGTGCATGTTCCCACGCTGCATGCAACCAAGGGAGGGTTTCACGCTAACCTTATCTTCATACAGCTGTAATAGACAGGTCATCTTAAGGGGCTGCAGAAATTGCTTCTCAATAGCTCACAGGTTATTTTTGAAACTCAATCCATTTAATTTCTTTAATGGCATAGGCAGCAATTGACATTATGGAACATTGTGGAGTTGCAATACAGTATGCACTAGCTTTTAGTATATTAAATAGCTCATTTTAACTCTGTCTTAAAATGGAATCCTTCTGCATCTTTCATTTAATGTTCATTACATAAGAAACAACCATAAACCATGACTTTAGTCCTTGACCCAGTGGAAAGCATATTGAATACATATCTTTCTTCGTAGCAGTCCTTGGCAATAACAGGTTTAATTTAGTGAATTTAGAGTTGAAGTTTATTCCTGTATGAGTCATAACAAAGGCTTCATGTTCTCAAAGCCTTAAAAGCCTTTTCACTACAAAAAAAAAGAATTTCCTAGATTAAAATAGTTGATCCAAAGCATAGAAACTTCTTTATCTACTGTATGGATCTTGCAGTAGATCCAGTTAATGCTACAGGGAGAAATAACATAGTCAGATGAAGAGTGGTGAAGTAATAGAGAGTAAAATTAAGAAACTCCATGTTTTCATCTCTTACGTGCATTGTTAAAAGTCAGTTGTTTTTCCAATGATTTTAAAAATTTCAGTAACTTATTGCTTCAGATAATTCCATAGACAAACATCTATGGATTGAATGGAAATGGCTTAAGCAATCAGTACAATATTTTAAACTCAATTTGCTAACCGGAGTTCAAGTTAAAAAAAAAAAAAAAAAAAAAAAAGAAAAACAAACAAACAACAGCAAGAAAAATCAAAAAAACTCCAAGAAGCCACTGGTTTAAGAATGACTTCAGTCACACAAGGGCTCAGCAGCTGCATCCACGTTAGGTAAGACACTTACTGTTTTGGAATTTGTTGTCAGCAAAATTTATAAAAACAACTACATGACAATGCTTTAGCACATTTTTGTCCAATAACTCTGCAGTCTTCTCCTCTCTTTGAAATGGAAGTCTACCAGATGAAATTGGCCAGGTTGTAATATCAACCTACCTAGTACTGAGTACTTGAGTTGTAGTTTCCTTCAAATACATTGGGCTATCATCTCCTCTTGCTCTTCACCTCTGTGTACTTTTTAAGACCATTTGTTAAGTAAAGAATTTAGAATCTCATGTCTTCAACACAGCATGTGAGGCTGCTCTACTGTTGAACTAGCTTTTTGTATACTGGGTTTTTAGATGATGTTGCTTCCACTAAAAGGTTGATTCGCTTCAGTGATTGACAGGAAGGTGAACAGGAGATTTGAAAGCTTTAGAACAGAAATCCCTTTACTAAAGCAGGCATGTTCTGCTTTTTACAAAATTAGCTCCTCCAGCTCTATCAGGGATTAACATTTTTTGCAACTCAGAAAATGGTGTACAAAAAAAGAAATTCTTCATGGTTCTATTGACAGCTAGCAGTACTAAAGTAGATTATGTCATTATTAATTAGAAGAAAAATAACGCTTGCAATATGGCTTTAGTGACGTATTTTTCCTATGTTCAACTGTTGAAATATAAGATCAGAACCTAACTACCTATGTGTTAAAATGGTGGACATTTACATCTTCTATCAGTTTAAGTACTGGTGTGATTTCTTTAACAGTTTGTTCTCTCTTAAATTCCAATAATTCAATGAATTTCCATGTCAGAGTTTTGCCCACTGGTCTAGCAGCAGTATTTCTGTAGAAATATAAGTATGTTTTACTTATGTCCACAATGGAAGGCTAAGGGTCTGAATAACCAGTGATAAATGTGCTGCTTTAGCACTCTCCCCATTCTCACCTTGTCATCCAACGCAGCCAGCAAAAGTAATACTCCTTGTAAGTTCTCCATTTCTTGCCAACATGTACGGCAGAAATTTAATGTATATCCACAGTATCTTTAGCAGAAATAATTTTTAAGTGATGAAACTCTACCAACCGCAGATCCCAGGAGTAAGGATGTTTTCATTCTATCAATCTCTTTCTTTACAGACTCACAGAGAATTCTAAAGTCCATTCTGAGACCAAAGGGATTTCAACCCTGATGAGTAAATAGAGAAGAGATTCAAAGACAAGGGGCTTCAAGATGCTGTTGATTCTGTATGAACATGAAGGTAAGCATTAGCCTGGCATTAGCATTGAGTTTTTGTGTTCCCTACTTCGTCCTTTCATTTTCTAGAACAGAGAAAGATGAATATGTCCTCAAGCAGTGGCATTCTCAATAAAGCAGATCTCCTTGTCTCTTGTCGACCATTTATTTCTTTTCTGCTTAAAATGCCCACACTCTTTTCAATGCATATTTATATTTAGAAGGTAACATTTCATTATGCCTTATAAATAGCCATTTTATCTCTGAATAGATGCAAGATAATATGTATAGGAACACACTGTTTCTGTTTTTCCATTCATTTTTAGTACATAAATAAATCTGGCCATCATTTTCTTTGAAAAGGTTATTCAAAGTGTCCTTCTCAAGATATTTCAGGCCTTAATTTTGAAAATACCCTGGTGGACTTGCCTTCAGAATCTTTATTGCTCCCTTCCCCATGTGAAAGTCATTCATGTGGACAAGTTTTCCCTGTTTTTCCAGGTTTCCTTAATATTCCAGAAGGATGGAGCAAGTAGTGGTGGGAGTTTGCAGATAAGGAGTAAACAAGGAATTTCTGGTACCTGATGTTTGAGAAGGAATTCTGAGGATTAATTAAACTATGAATTCTCTGATAGAAAGGTACGCTGGCTAGGTTTTTCTATGGGCACAACTTCAAGCCTCAGTTTTATTATCTGCAACCATTTTGATCTAATTGCTGAGAAAATACAGGGAAGACTCCTAATGACACAAACCCAAGGAAATATATCACTAGAATAAGAACATTGAGATTTACGTTTAGTCTGAAATGCCACCCAAAGATGCTTTTCCAAAGGCTTTCTGGTTCTCTCTTGGAAGCCTTACAAGCATTTGTTTCCCCTTGGGACTTCTAGAATTTCCCTGTTTAGACTGGAGGGTCTCTGAAGCAGAGGCTGTTTTGATAAACTGTGTACAGCACCTTGCACAATGGACCTCTGATCACAACCTGCATCTCCATGTTATGGCAATGCAAATAAATATACGAACAACTGTCCTTGAACAGGAAGGAAAATAAAAATCGGATTCCCTGGAGAGTTGACGCATATATGGTAACCAGTCTCTTATCATAATAATGTTGTATTTATTGAAATCCAAGGTTTAGTAGACGTTCAACTTTCTTGGCATGGCAGAAGTAACTCTCCCATTTTGTCTTATATTCCTTGTGCAGAAGTTTTTGCTTGTTTGCTTTTTATCCTGTTTTGCCTGACACTAGGGGAGACTTTGTTTTACTAACATTTGTAGCCGTCACTTTGATCTGCAACAGGAAAGCTCAAGATTGGCTTCTTTGCCCATGGGGAAACAAATGAGATCAGAATATGCCAGTTTTAAAAACCTCAGTGGATTGGCTCTAGAAGAAATAGTTCTTGTTCCTTAGCTAATTGCGAATTACTTCTTTATTTTTTACAGAAAACACTATGTTTTCTACACATGGTTATTCATTTGTGAAGGCTGGAGGCTGATTTCTATTTATTCCTGACACACATGAGGTTGTTTGTTCCTTGTAAATAAAAGAAATATTATAGTTTCCAAAGTCTTTCATTTACTGCAGGTTTTTGTGCTTGCTTGTTTTCTAATGTTCCTCTCTCCTAGGAAAATTGTCACTCTTGACAAGTACTTCCAAAACCATATGTCGTTTTAGACCAGGGTAGTGTAATATCAGATGGGGTGTGGGTAACAAAGGGTTCCCTTCGGTTAAACGAGCACTGTGCAATTGCACCAGTGATCATGACTAAGCTGAATTCAGACCAGCTTCCCTCTTCGCTAACAAGGGAGGAAGGGGGATTTATCCAAGGCATTTTGGAGAATCAATGAGGGGAACACCAGAGTAGCAGACGAAGACCATGCCAAATCTGTCAGTGTCTCCTGCCACAGCGTTTGAGGATGGTGGTGACAGGGGAGAGAAGCACTGGCAACCATGTTTTGCCCTCGGTGTTCAGCCTTTGGAGCAAGGTGTACTCCATCACCTGCTCTGGGATTTTGTAATCACACAGGAGAGGCTCAAGTAAGGGTGTCTCTGTTACTTACTGAGTCTTCTGGTGGGTAAAAAACCTCTGGATAAAAGTCTGAATGTGCTAAACTGCCAGGCTTTTTGGTAATAGCTGCAAGTGACTGGGTATTACAGCACATCTTAAGGAAAAGGTGACCATGTAGCCCACTATAAAGGACTGACTTGTGCAAAGCAATGTGGTGGCTCAGCCATATCCCCTGCACACCCCTCTGCGCTCAGTTAGACCTGCTAGGCTCTTCCCTGTTTCTGCTTGTTTGCACTAGAACGAAAGGGAAAAGTCTGCCCACGTTCCTCCCCCATTACACTGTGACTGTTCAAGGGAGTCTGGAGTTTCATGTGATAGGTGCGAATGGCTGGAGAAGGATCTTCCTCATTGCCAGCTTCCCCCTTGCAGATATTTCTTCCTTGCCTCTCTGTGTGAAATGAGCAGTTTGCAGCAGGATAGAAAATTCTAGGCCCTATAAGGACTCAGCAGGTACTGGGAAGAGTTTTACAGAAATACTTATTTAAAGTTGAAAACAAGTTTTCTTTGACCTTTTCCATGCCCTGTTTGTGCTTGTTTGCCCCTGTTGTTCATGTTGGTGCAATTTCAGGCTGGGGGGTATAGGAGTGGTCATAGAATAATAATTAAGTTCGAGTATTTGCAGCAAGGCTTTTCATTACCACTGGAGAAGTGACTGATTGTAAGAGAGAACCTTAAGGCATTGTGAAAGCAAAACAAAACAGTTATGTCCAGTCAGAACAACTCCAGTTTTAAATTTAGCTTATAACAATCCTTACAAAGTGTTCAGTCATTACTAATAAAATGATGTAATAGATAGTTTTGCTTGAATAAATATGAGAACTCTGGAGTAGGTGTCTGACAGCAATAATAACTTCTCTTTTTTATTCTGATTTCATCAAGTGTTATCATGTTGAACATTAGCTAGCTACCAAGACAGTTTATGATTATAAAAAGAAGAGCTTCTTTATCCCATCACAGGAAAAAAACGAAGTTATCCATAATTCTCTTCACAGTCTGCAGACTATATAATGTAAATGGTTGAAGTGAAGCCCTCTAAGATGGTACCTTTTGGTCTTCTTTCTCCCAAAGCAAGTGCCAAACATTTAGGTTTTCGTTGTGCTTGGAAACTTCAGAACATACCCACATAACTTACTCAGATAAGAAATGTGTCATTTTTCTTTGGAAGAACGTTGTTCCTGCTGGCAAACTTTGTCTTGAACAAACATTGTGAAATTTTCACTAGGGCAGCCATTCTGGAATACCTCACAACTTTGTTGATTAGAGGGAGATTCCTATATTTGCACAGTAGTTTCTAGATCGATACAGTTCCTTTCAAGAATGAGGGTATTTTTGAAGGTACCTTTAGAAAATCTATCTCAAAACTCTAACTGTTCTAATTCTAAAATCCAGAAAACAAATAAGCCAGCTGTTAAGGAGTATGGCTGGCAGGTACCAGCGAGTTAGATGGTAGCGTGACATTCACATGAACTTCCTGTAGATAATTCAGCCTTACAGCAAATCCTATAATTCTCTCCTCTTATCCATCTCAAATATTGCAATTATTGCAAATATGACTTGGCTATTTCATGAGGCATTAATCATCTTTATCAGATATTTGGCTTTAGAAATTATTTTGTAATGTTGTTTACTTTGTTACTCAGAGATGAGTTATTACAGAATAGTAGTGTTGGCCATGGGAAAAGGCTGAAAGGAGGTAAAAGGCTTTATCCTTTGCATTAAGAAACAATTGTGGAATGATTATGTGGCTAGGTGTGCACTTTCAGAGGCAGCTATGCCTACTCCTTGCTATCAAACAGTGAATAACGGTTCCATGGGTTGCTGCTAAGTTTGGTTTTCCATCCGATTCTCCTTTCTAGCAAAGTCAGCACACCTCTAACGTGTGACTTCATTGGGGAAAGCAGTGCTTACCAGGTGAACTTTCTAAAAAAATAGTAATATGATTTATGACTTGGTCTCTTGCATCTTGTATCCTTGTTGAATCCTAATCCTGGGCTTGAAATGGGGGCATATGCAGTACAAATCCCCATTGTTCAAATCCCAACCAGAGTCTATGCCCTGCTTGCAACTGCAAGGTTGCTTAATTGAATTTAATGAGGTTGTCCATGTGCAACACAGTTGGCAAGTAGTTGCCAGAAGCCTCTGATGAGTTCTTCTGAAGTTCTAGTCCATAGGGCTGGCTTTCTGTAACCATGACTGGGTCTGGCTGCTGTATAGCTTCTGTGTAGAGGGTATTGTAAAACATGATTTCCCAGGGGAAAAACAACCCAACTCTGCTCTTGAAGCAAGCTATTTAGCTGACATAGAAGAGCTGTCCAGACTTTTTCCCTGATATCCCGATTTACGCTTGCAGTTCAGCATGTTACGTCAAGTTAATATCTCTATCAGCGTGTGGGTGGAGTGTCCTCTGATTTTTGATTTTTGCTGCAATTGAGTAGATGGGCATGTTGCAGCCCAGCTGTGTTTAACATTACTTTTTATGTAGCATTCATGGCTGAGATGTCCAGCAGTGAATTGACTTCTAGGAGAGTGTGGTTTATTCTCCATAGCCACACAGTCCTCCAGCAGTGTATGGAAGCCGTGAACTAGACAGTGAAGCTGAATCAACCTCTTCTTCAGACTGCACTCCTTCCCCACACTTGCCCCGCTATGGATGAGTGTCTGAAAAATTAATTAGCCAACAATTCCCCCACAGATGAAAGTGGAACTAAAACACCTTAAAAATAAAAGGAATCATTGTTCTAATCCTCTGGAGGTTAGTTATTACCCTGTGTGATAGGTACAGACTAGAAAACACAAGTGTTTTAAGGTTGACATGTGGTTAAACTGTGAATACAAAGTGTGGTGGTTTGGTTTTGCTTTTTTAAAAATGAATTTTGTCTAATCTTATTGATATTCCAGAGTTTAAGAGTAGGCACAGAGAAGTGAGAAGCATATGATCTGTAGACATGAATATTTTGTCACCTTAAAATAGAGATGGCTGGTTTCTACAGAATTTTTTGGTTTCAGATTCAGTTGTCTTCATATATAGAAATTCTCATTTTCTCAATTCCCTTCCTTCTTGGTTTGTTATTAAAATAAAGTAAAATATATATAAACAGCTCAATGGAGGAAGAGCTTTTTCTCTGCTGTAACAGCTCTGTATTGTAAGAAAATGAGACCAGCCTTGATTAATGGGCTTGGGAAATTTACAGACAGGGAGAAGCAAAGGCTGATCCCTGCTGGACTTGCTTGTGTGACGTGTGCTGGCCCTGCAAATCTGAGACAACCTTGCATTACTCTCCTGACAGTGAGGTTTGTAAAGCTTGGCTGATTCTTATAAAAAGCTTCTTGCTCAAGGTTCATAGAAGTTAAAGTATGAAGAGAAGGTTCTTTATTTTAAAAAGTGTTATTTTTATATTAAAGAATGAGCAGCTGCAGTATCAGGAAAGCTCCTTCTGAATGGTGGGATGGGATCTAGGCTTGAGGGAAATTCTCCTGTCTCTCATCTCTGGGACTGCCTTTTGTTACTTGAGGTTAGGTGTGTGTCCTTCAGGATTATTCCAATCAGATGAGAACTATTGAGGAATCACT